GGCGAAATTTAAATTATTTTTTTATATTACAAATTTTAAAATTACCCCTGCACTATATTTAAATAGCATCACAATTTTTCAATCCAAATTCAGGCTGCTTATTCGCTTTATCAACGAAAACTAACTCCAACCAACAAGATACATTATTACAATCTCAAGCAAAATGATCATCAAATATACAACAGACGACAAGATGATGGATCTGAAACAAAACCACAGCAACCCAAGTTTTCTGAGCAGTGGTTACGCATATTTGCAAGATTGCAGTAATTCCAACAACTTCAACAATTCCACAATCGAGCTAAACAGTTCAGAAAGAACAGCAAATGATTCTAGCAGTACTTCGATCGCAAACACAACAACACCTTCCTTAGTTATAACAACAAACTCAGCCTCTGCAGCCACAGCAACGTCACCAGTAACATCGCCAGCCACATCTTCAACAAAATTTAGTTTATCGAGCGACTTGAGTTTCGACGAAACCTTTTTTTCGACGTTTTCCAATAGCTTCGCCGACACTTCATCACTGCTGAAGGAGAACAACTTGCAACTGCTCCTCGACCAACAAGATCTCATTAACGATAGTTCATATTGCAGCAATGACATTTACGCTGATTTCGCTTCTGCCTACAACAACATCAACGACGATTTATTCATTACATCCAATACCAACGACAGCAGTTGTTTCTATAACGGCAGCTGCAATGATGACTGCAAATTTTCGTCGAATAATTCTTATTACACCGACATCTCAAATGATTCTACCTTCTTCCAATCCCACGCAGGCGGTAGTAACTTCTACAGGAACAGTTACGACACCGACTACAGCGATTACGACCAACGAAAACGACTTCCGACATACTCTGAACACCTGCAGAGCCACGTTAAAACTGAAACTGTCAGCCACAACAGCCACAACAACGCCGAAAATTTTTATACAAAGAGCATCCGCTGCAACTACAACAGTGTCAACTACAATGATGTCGACATGGCGACTAATGACGATGTAAATGAACGCCGAGGCTTGGTGGCATCCATCTTGGACAGCTTGAATGTTGAATATTTCGAAGACTACAAAATTAACGACCTTTTCGACTGTAACAACTTTCCAACTGATAACACCGCCCTCACCAATAACAACAATAGCATCAGCATAACCAACAACAATAACCAAATCAACAGCATTAAAATAAACAACATCAGCATCAACAACATCGGTGACATTAACAAGACTTTAAAAACTAATGAAATCATTGTTAACAAACTCAACATCAACGGCAACAACATCGACAACGCCAACAACAACACCGAGAACAACATCGACAACAACAACAACAAAAACAACAAAAACAGCAACATCGACAACAACAACAACAACATCAATAACAACAGCATCTTCGTTAACCACGAAGGTTTCGTAGACCCTTACCTCGATGAATGTAACAGGCAAACTGATTATAAACTTTTCAGTTTTGAAAATAAAATTGATGAAAGCGATGAGAAATCCCTCGTGTCATTACCATCCTCCTCTTCATCATCATCATCTTCATCATCATTATCATCATCTTTGTCTTCATCATTTTCACCATCATCACCATTCTTGTCGTCATCAACGTCAACACCACAGTCACCTTTGCCAGCGATCTCTCTCAACGCCGAATCTCAATTATACGAAGGTTGGTTTATAACCAGATTTTCATCTATTATTTTATTCTCCAGTTAACAAGTTTATTGCCGATGGGGTGTAGCTTATTTTAAAACTTTAGCTAACATTCGCTTGGAAGTTCGCGCAAAAATTTTTGCCACGAATGGTTCCCATTTTCATCCAAACACGTTCCTAATTCTATTCCAGTTTATCTTCATTAATTAACAACAACTAGATGAAAACCAAACTGGTAGCAAATTTATAACAACGGTTTTAACAATAATAATAATATTATTATTATTACTGTTTTTATTATTATTGTTAATATTATTATTATTATTATTGCAGTGGTAATGGCTGATAGGTGCATTCTGAAAACAATTTCTTTCATTATTATTGTTTCTCAGTACAGCACACAGATTTGAATAGGAACTTATCCATCATGCTGCACACACACACACACACACACACACACACACACACACACGCACACATACATATATATACACACACACAAACAAACATACCACATATGCATGCAAACGATAATAATTTAACCAGCAGATAATTGCAAATTAATTTTGATATTAACTTTCAGGCAAAAATTTTTCAAAAATTCGTGTCTTCGTATGTTATTATAGGATGTTTTGCAATTGTATACAATGTATGAACAAACAAACATACATAGATACACGGTGCAGAATACAGCTGTACTTAACAGTAATGTAATTGAATATGTGTGCGTGTGTGTGTGTATTTATTTGCGCGCGTGCGTGTATGTATCGTTCGTGCGATGGTGTAATTGGGCACCGTCACCAGGTGGCACGTATCATGGATGTGTTTCAATCCGACTGACGCAGCGGAGATAATGTTGATTGTTTTGAGAAGGCGAGGGATAAGATTGCGTGAGGGGGTGATAATTTGAGTTGCCATTCGTTTTCAAATCCGGATTATTTTTAGTTTGTTTTATTTCATTTCCGTCTATCTCTCCATATGGCGTATCCATTGCGGAAACTAAACTATCCGTCCGTTCATATATTCCACATGCGTGTACGCGCATTTACATCAAGTTACATTGCATATAAATTAAATTTACTCTTTAAAAAATGACTTATCTGTTTCTAGTGCAAGAATGCTTATTTCATTTAATGATTGAATCCTTGCATATGATATTAATTAAATTAAAAAATTTATTTGAAGGGCATACACGAATTCTCAAACGCACGCACGCATTTAAACAGGGACACACACACACAGACACAAAAAAACACGCACACAGATATATATATATATTTAATATAATACTTTTAATAACCATTTTAAATGCTTAAAAATGAAGTTGAGTTGAGGGAATATAAAAATAATAATTTTTTTAAATTAAAATTTTTATGTGAGAAAAAATATTGATGCACTTTGAGTGGGACAAGTCTCTTCATTGATTAACACGTGTAGCGCTTTCAAGTTGAGTAAAAAAAACACTTCAAATATTTTTCAAATGAAAATTACATCGGCAAGCCATATTTCCACCTAAAATATTTAATAAAAAGCAGACATATTTGATAAAATAGTTTCCAAACAAATGCAACAAAAATGCAGCTTACTACAGAGAAACACGCGCGCACGGACACAAGTTAAACTGACTCGTTCATGACTCAACTTCAGTTTTAACCTGGTTCCATTTCAATTTTCGAAAGTTATTCAATTTCAAGAGTAAACCTTCTAACTTTCAATCATGATGCGTAACTCTCTGCAGTGCGCGATACTGATCCATTAGCAACTACACCCCATCATACGCATGTGCACATCTATCCGTTATGTATACTATAATGGATAGATGTCTTGATATATGTGGTGTAATTAAGGATTTCCTTGTGTGATATACTCTTCGGTGAGATGTACACATGCATATGCATATGTATCAAGACTATGTATCATATGTATCAACACTAACCAATATGAGAGTAATTTTCAAATGGATTTTGCGTAAACGACTGGTGCTTATTTTTTAATCTGCAGAGTGTTTGAACAAGAAAAATTATAAAACAACAGGTTGAGTTAATTTTTATTTAATCATTTAATTTAATAACGAAACAACCAGCATGCAACATCACACACACACTCACATACACACACACACAGCCACACACACATACATCCTAATACATTTTTATTCATTTCCACTTTCAGTTGGATTATAATTGAACATAATTAGCCACAAATTAAGAAATTATCAACTAATTTAATAAAACTTGTACTCCCGAATTAATGTTCTGCTGTTGCAAGCACATGAACTGGGTTGAAACGTCCTCACTCAGTGACAGTTCAATCAGCAACATCCATTTTAGGTTGTTAAATAACGTAGTGCTACTAAGAATCACCACTGATCACCACACCACACCACACCATACCACACTACACCCCACCCCACCACACCACACCACAGCATTTGTGTTATAATAACTTTTTTTAGTTTGTTCCCCAATTAATGATACCAGCTTAGTAGACACAACAACAATAACACTAAGATGTCACCATCTAATTGTTGTCATCTTAATATACAATTTAATGATGATTGGAGTAATTAGGTATAAAAAATTTTAATTTTTTATCAACAGACTCAACAGCTAACAGTTTTTACTTAATGAATGATATATTTTATCGCAACAACAACAACAGCAGCAGCAACAACACCAACTACATCAACTACAACAACAACACAAACAACAACATCAATAATGACTACAACAACATGTACGACAACTTCATTAGCAACTGTAACGTCAACGTTAGCAACAACAACATTCATTACAACAACAACGACGATGTTTTTTGTAAACCGGAGTGTAATTTTCAAACTATGTTAAACATTCAAAGCTTAGAAAACAACAACAACAACAATCTTTATTACAATAACACCGTCAACAACATCAACAACAACATAATCAACAACTACAACAGTGTTAATGTTATCAACGTCTGTCATAACATCAGAACCCACGGTAATATTAAAAATCACAGCAAACACATCAACAATGGCAGCAACCAATCTGAAATGTTTGACCTCTCAAAACATCAGGTCGATGGACGACTTCGATACGTCCTCAATCATTTTGGAAGACAAAAAATAGGTTGGCTCTTCTTTACTAACACCACTTAACATTTCACATTTAAAATGTACAAAACAAACAAACAGTTAAAATGCTTTAAAACGACATGAATACTGCAACCACGTAGGCAAGAAAAACATAAATAAACCAAAATACATTGCATGCACCGTTAATTAATGCAAGTTACCAAGAAACACGACACAAACAAAAATTCATGATTGAAAACATACAAAAAAAACATTAAAAAATCTCCAGGCTCCAGTCATGTGCAGTTGTGGCAGTTCATATTGGAACTGTTGGCCGACCCACGGCAAGCAGATGGATGCATCGAGTGGATTGGTGTGGATGGCGAGTTCAGAATGGTCGATCCGGAAGAAGTTGCCCGGAAGTGGGGAAGGAGGAAGAAAAGAGCCAGAATGAATTTTGAAAAGATGGGAAGAGCTCTAAGGTGTGCATTGCAAATGTTTCGTTGTTTTTATTTGTTTGCACGAAGCTTATTGGACGATGGAAAAATTAACTTGCTTGTGATTGGCCGATGAAGTGCACGCAGATAATATGAGCATTCTTTGCAATGCCTTCGAGTTGTTGATGTAGGCGCGCGTTTCTTTGTGTGGATGTTTGTTAGTTTGCACTGTTGTCTTAAACAACTCGCGCCATTTGTTGTCTTAAACAACTATTACTATTTCTACTATTTCAAATTTCATTTTTTACTGTGATGTAGTTGTAGTAATTCTATGTTTATAAACTTTATTGAAGAAATAAAGGTTTTATTAACGCTGTTGTTTATTAACGCAGATATTATTACGACAAGATGATTCTGAAGAAGGTGACGGGCAAGAAATGCACCTACCAGTTCCACCTGGCCGGCGTTCTCTGCCAGGGCAAGAAGGCTTTGCAGGATTGCTTCGAAAAGTACGAACGGGAGAACAAGGTTTCAGGCAAAAATTCGAAATGAAGCAAAAATCCAAGCGTGGCGGTTTGATGATCACATTTAAGTGAATAACTTCAAAAGATCAACAACGTGTGTCTGATGCGTGCAGAAATATTTAAATAACTAAAACGGTGTAAACGATGAGACGGATGGTTTGGGAGTTGATGCAAGCTGCCGTGTAACATTCAGTTCATTGCTGACAACTAATTTAATTCAATTGTTAGTTTTAAAACTGAAAAGCTTCATTTAGTTACCATTTTTTCTAAACCAATGAACAGCATACCTAACTGCAAAATTGAATTTATACTTTCTCGTGAAACATTTTTATACATTTGCATATACAAGTACTGACATTTACATGTATATAATTGTTGTTATCCGTGCAGCTCTGACAGATTTTCACAAACTTTTTGTTATACGTTCTATATACAGGCTTCCGAAAAAAATCAAATTTATTTGTTTGTGGAATTCATTGAATGAATCATTTTATACATTCACTGTTTTTTTTTCCTGAATCAATATTTAAAGTAAACCAACCAGCTGGCCTGGTTGCATCTCATTTCTTATTTTATTTTGTTAACATATATTTGTTATTTTTTGACACATTTACAATTCTGCTCAACATTGCAGTCACTACAAACACTTTACTGTATTCACTACTAGTATTATGATATTTGAGCAGTATATATTTGTATATTTTTTTTATTATATAAGTTTTATCCTATGTTAAATTTTTATTGTTTGGAGATTTTCATTCTTATAGATCTTTCGTGTTTTTTATTTCAGAAAATTTTTACCACTTCCAATTATAAAATTCCACGGTGATCGATTACGTTCATTAATTTCCATGAAAATAAACTGTTGAACGATGAATAATGCTTCGTCAACTCAAATTGAAAATATTTCTCACAAACTTCTAAATAAAATTGAATGAAAACAAGCTGAGATCAAGAAATAAAAACCTGCCGCCCAAAACTCCAAATAACGGCAACTCTGACACAAGTGAAATCAAAAATCGATGCCAATCAAAAGTTAAAACAACAAAAACTACCAACAACAAACATGTTTAAACATTCAATCACTCGAAACGAAAGTCATAGCTGAAGGTAGAAGTAAAATTTTAAGGCTTAATGAGTTAAGATTAATTGCAATGAAATTCGGACCGCTCCCTTCATAAAACGGACATTTAAGTAACTTTCTAAAAAATAATTTTAATAACAAATTTATCTAAAATGTGAAATAAGCGAAAAACAGTTTCCGACTTTTTCAAAAATCTAAGCCCGACTTGAAAAAATTTCTGACTACACCGCTGCTAAACATGCAACGAAAATGTCCAAACAACTTGGCGGTTATTCATGATTAACTTAAAGAACGTTCGCTAGAGTATGAAGGTGGACGACTACAGAAACATAAATTTAATTTAATTTCTTTATTTTATTGTTCGTGGGAATGTTTGTATTTATGTTATAAATGTCTTAATACTTGTTTTGTTTATTACTCCATGTTAAATGACCAAAAAGTTTTTAAACTAAGTTAATTTGTGAAAACTTATAAATCATTTCATACAGATTTTTGTAACATATTTATATTAATGCATTCTTTCATTTCAGAACGGTAAAGTTTTTTTATTGTTTTCTTTTACCTGCAACCGACAACAGGTGTTCATCCGCTTGTAACTATGATGTTTTCAGAGAGATATTTGTTTTGCTATTCATTGTTTTTATTCCTTCATCACTACTCCTGGAGACTTAATTACAAGGAAACGGCATTTCGTTGCGTAACTAAAATATTAAGATTCACGGAATGGCTCACTCTTAGCAATCGTCTGGGCTCAAAAAATAGGTTATCAAAACCAAAATTTTTGTAAGTTTTTGATAAGGAATGTATGAACTGTGTTAGCATGATAAATTTGCAAACAAAAAAAAGGAGATGGAGAGAAAAAAAATTATCTTTTAATTATTCTATCGAAAAAAAATTAATATTTTTAATGTTTTATATATTTTTGCTTCTGCTTATTTACTACTGTTACGTTTTTGTTATGCTCCGTTACACTAACAACGTTGGCAGCGGTTTCTATCTGTATATATTTTTCAATGTTTAAAATGATGGTCTTAATAATTAAGATAACATTAATGATATGAAAATGTTGTTGGCGATGATGATGACGACAACTTCAATAATGAAATGATAATGACGATTTAAGTTAATTCAGATATGAGGATAATGACGATGATGTGGCGCGCCAATGAGTTTTTCAATGGGACCCTGTAATTATTTCAACGAAAATCAATTAAACAATTTCATAATTTTCATTAAATTAATTCTTCGAAATAAAATAGGATAACGATACTGATGAAAAATTAATATTAATAAATAAATTAAAATCAAGTTAGAAAATTGTGGCAAATATAAATTAGAAAAATTACCCAAATAACAAAATTATATGAAGTAAAATGTAGAAAAAATATATTTTTCAAGCAGTAAAACGTAGCAAAATTACTTTTAAAAAACGGTAAAACTTCAAATAGCACAAGGAAAGTGAAGTGAATAATTAAGAGCTAAATTAATAAGTCGAGGAAAATAGATTTAATTGGATTATTATAAATGATGAAATGAATATCGACACTTATAATTTATACGGGCCTTATTATTATTTATTTGATATAGATATACATATAACTGTCGATGATGAAGTAGTATATAAAGATAGAAATTAAGAGTTTTACTTTACGTTTTATAGGCATTTAGATTTTTAATTGAAACTGTCATCTCGCTTGTTTTATATATGCATGTATGTAGGTTAGCATATTTCAATTCTTGAGAAAGTTTTGGAAACAGACAAGAAACACGTAACAGGCAAGTTCGTTTAATTTTTTCTTTGCAGTTTGGCTTTTTGCAGTAAACACGCTTACAGCAAAAAGTTTAAATGTTTTTACATTCAATTTGTGGGTCTGTTATAAAAATGTTAATGCACCTTAGTCGCTAGCAATGGGGCTGTGTAAAATGACTTTAAAAATAGTACTATTAAAATAACCTGAAAATTGGAAAAATTGTATAGAGATTTTGTAGAAATAGAAATCATAATAAATATTTTATTCTAAACTGTTATGTCAAACAGACCTCAATTCGCATAAATGAAAGCATTGCATCTATGAGAACAATTATGAAATGCTTCATTCAATCGAAGTTAATCAATTAAATTGTTCAACTGTTAATCATGGATATATCCATGCTGTTAATGATGGGAGATAAGATTGACTCGTGAAAAAATGTTAAGAATACTTATTTCGATTTACCGATTAAAATATTCAAATATGACACGAATTATGAAATTATGATATGTTATAGCTAATTATGAAATATTATTTCAAATCTTCAACAATCTTCATCCAGGAATTCAGTAAGGAATATTAATATTAAACATTAAAAGATCGCCATTGTTGAAGAAAACGATCTGAAAAATATTGGAACAAAATGTTCGCCAAGTCCGGTGCGACAGACAAAGTGACCAGTTTAAAACAAAAATGTAAAGTTGAAGCAGATTTGGACAAAAATTCAGCATTATTCAACCACGACAATTCCATCAACAACTGCAATCCACTGTATAGTTGTAAAACAAAAGGTGATACGACTAAACGTGAGATTTCAACGACGAATCATAATTTGTTTCTACTGCCGCCGGCAAAAATTTTATCAAAAGAAAGAAAAACATCTTCAAATAGACCAGCAGCAGCATTAGCGACAACATCGCTAGCAAGATCGTCAACACAGATTAATTTATCGAGCAGTGACTTTAATATTGACGAAGCAATTCTTTCAACGTTCGCAGATAGCTTCGCTGACACTTTCTCTTTTATTAGCACAAATGACTAAAGTTATTTAAAGAATTACAATAACTTGAGCAGCAGCAATGATGACCTTAACTTCTTGAACGATTCGCAAAATTTTTATTCAGTTCAACGTAACACTGACAACAGCAACTTACAAAAATCTCCCAACGCTGATATTAATTATGATAAACTTGATCCAACGTATTCTCAACAGTTACTTAACAACATCCAATTTGAGTTCTACTACAACTTCAACGATTACAACACGGTAAACAAGATGAACATGGTGAACATGAAAAACAACAGCTACACCTACTTCAACAACAACATTTCTTCAAACAACGACCCAAATCTTTTCACCGATTTGATATTTAACGACAATCCGAACCAACGACAAAATTTGGTCGATTCCTCGAAGACACCGTCAAATGAAGAAAAAATTAAAAGTGGTGCAACTGATGAAATGAACAATGACAACAACAACAACAGCAGACACAACAACAGTAATTACAACAAAAACTTCAACAACTACAGCATCTACTACAACTACAATTATTTCAACGACGACGATGTTTTTTACAATAACCAGTCAGTAGAAAACTTTAACAACACGTTTGGCATCGAAAGTTGCAGCAACGACATTGAGAACAACAATTACAACATCATATATGGCTACAGAAACAACACGAATAACAGTAACGTCAACAATTACAACAACGTCAAGGTCAGCACAACAACCTTACAATCGACAGCAACAACAGCATTGACGCCGAATGCAACAATTCCAAAAAACGCCACTACCACAGCGACACCATCGACAACAACATCGGCAGCAGCCACAAAAGCAGAAGGACAGCAAATGGAGATATCTATAACAACTCAAACCATTCTGAAATGAGTGATCCTCCAAAACACAGCGTCCACAACAGGATACGATACATTCTCAATCATCTGGGAAAGCAGAAGTTATGTACGTTATTTATTCATTTATTTATGTACTACCACTAACACATACACTTTATGCATACGCACAAAAGAATATTAATAAGGATTCAATTAAAAAGTATGACGATACACGCAAACAGGCATTTAAAAATGTGTTTATACAAAAACATATTACACATATTGTGTAATATGTTTTATTGTATATTGTATAATATCTTTGCATCAGCCAAAATAACATACAGCGTTTTAATAAACAAATAATTATTTTTCATCACACAAAACGAAACACAGCTATACAAAACGCTCATGACATTAGATATGACAATCGAAAACCCCAAACGATCAACAATGAACAACCAACTGACAAACAGTAACAAACAAACAACAGGTTGTGGTCAACTTTGGAAGTTCCTGATTGATTTACTGGCGGATCCACAAAAAGCAGATGGAAGCATTGAATGGGTGGGACTGGATGGAAAGTTCAAAATGCTGGACTCGGAAAAAGTTGCCAGGAAGTGGGGACTTAGGAAGAAAAATTAGAAAAATGGGAAGGGCAATAAGGTATACAGGAAACTACTTTACTTTATGTTTTTGTATGTTTGCATGATGTTCAATGATAAATAAAAGTCACTTTTTTATTGTAAAATTATTAAATACAGGTACTACTACAAAAATATACTGGACAAAGTGTTGGGAGAAAAATTCACCTATCAATTCAATCTAGCTCATATCCTTCGCCAGGGAAAAAAGCCACTGCAAGACTGCTTCAAAAGATACCAACAAGAGTACAAGTTGGCCGGCAACATTTCCAACGTTAAAGGCTGAATTGTGCCTGTCTTAACAAATCAAAATTTAAATCTTACATACAAATCCTTCTATTTAAGGAAATATTTAAAAGTTAATCGATAAAAAGTTGTAGCGAGAACCGGACCATGTTGAACGCGAACATCAACTGAAAATTCAGCGTTTCTGAAACCTTTTGTTTTTAAATATCAACAGTAATTTGAGTTTTTGATTTAATGTTTGACTACCCATAGGAAACTGGTTCGTTATATTTTTTCAACTTATTATTTATTTAGCTGAACTGTTTGCAATATCTGTTGCATATCATTTTCTAAGAAGTTTGAACGAAATGCATGCTAATTTATTATTTTTGAAAAAATATTTTTCAATTGCTTCATTCATTAAATCAATATATAATTTTCAGCCTGACGTTTTATTCATTTAAAACAAACAAGTTATAAATTTTTTATACATTTCCAACGATAAAGTTTACATTAAAAAATTATGCCTGTGACAAAGCTTGAACTTTTATCAACAAATCTTTAATTATAAATTGAAAGGTGTAAATTTATTTTACGTTCGCTGGATGCGAGTCTGCGTTAAATTACCGCGTTATAAGACGGAACAGAAATAACGTACACTTTAGATGTTAAGCAGCATTAACAGACATATGAATTTCTTTCTTTAAAAATATGCCTTCCATGTTGATAACAACAAAAACATAATTAGCATTTCTTAACAGCCAGCCACAAAAAATGTTAATAGTAATAACCCAAAATGCATAATCTTCATTTGACCTCCACGAAGCTCTGGCGATTAATACATTGTTATTTATGATAGTTTAGTACTTATTTTAATATCATCTTATATTATATTATATACTTCTCTACAATAGTGAAGAAGTAAAAACCTCTCCAAATTATTTTATACCGATCTTAGACCAATGATGGTCCGGCTTTTCAATCTTGCAGTAATGTGATCAACAGCTAGCTACAAACGATGGATCATTTGCCATGAACGCATTAAAAAAACTGAGATTATTTTAATTGTTTTTAAATATCATATATCTTACTATTGCATGGAAATAAGTAATAAGTACGAAATACAACTTGAAAATTTTTAAAACAAACTTTATCTCCAAAACAGCGTCAAATTTATACAACTTGAAACAACTAGAAGCATTTTATCACAAGAGCAACTATTTTTTTTTTACTAAAAACAGCTTAGGGACCGAGCTGAAATAGCGCCTATGCTTTCGTGCTTATTAAATGACAAGATGAGACATGGCATGCAACAAAAGACAAAATATTGAACGCTTTAAATAATAAATATGTTGTGTAATTAATAACTAGTAAATAAAAATATGCCTGAATAATTTTCTACAAAATCAATAAATTTTTTAAATTGCGTTCCTCTTTATAATCTGTCCTATTTTTGCTAATCAGTCGAAAAAATACAGCAGAAATGAATCTGATGTGAAGCGTGCAATTTATCACTGGGCCAACTTAGCATTTGTCTTTTGTTGCATGCCATGTCTCATCTCGTCATCTGATCAACACGAAAGCACAAGCGGTATTTAAGCTCTGTTCCACGCTATTTTTTGTAATAAAATACTTTAACCTGGTTCGAATGCAGCCTATGCAAAGTTCTGACGCCGTATGCGCTTTTATGGTGCGGTGCTTGCACTTACTGATGGGGCAGATTCAAATTTACTGCAGCTCCCTATACAACGACGTGTTAGTTAATATCGATAGACGTAAAATTATATAGAAACAACTGAGAACGCCAGCTCGGCTTGAAGTGGTGCACAGAGTAAAAAAATGTTAATTAATGAACAAAAACATCGTTATGATTAGTGGCGTTCAGCCGGTGCATAAGAAAAAAAGTAATGTTTCAGGGAGAATCTTGATAGGTAATTAGGCGAATACAGTATATTAAGCACGTATTGACGATACAATATATCAGAAGATACTCTATCTATAGGTAACATAATGTGCAATAAAAACAACACATGTTTCACTCCATATCAGAGTATTTTCGTTCCCAACTTTACTTTTGCCTGAAAAATAGGACGCCTTACATCATTATTTTTATGCGGAATTTTAAAACCCGACCATCTTTTCTTAATTTACATTTTCTTCTAACAGGTTCAACAATTTTAAAGTTTTAATGAGATATACATAAATTTCAGTAACCATTGTTTCTTGAATCACTAACATAGCAGACCATAGCGCAATACAAACATACATCATACACTCCAATCAAGAGAACATCATTCCAATGCATGTCGCCACAACGCATCAATCCACGTCCTATACATGCTTGCGAAAAAAATCTTCATAAAAAATAAAAGCATTGGAAAAAATGTAAATGTAATTAATGAATAATGAACATAAACAATAAAAATAGCAAACAGTAATAAAAAATAAAATAAAGTTATTAAGACATATTGAAAAACCATATGAAAAAAACTAATAAACTACATCAGAGAAACGTGTAGGTAATAATTAAAGGCATTACTGTTGCGTAACAATAATGAGGAAAGTATAAAAATAACAAAAAAGTACAAACAAAGAAGTTATTTAATAGAACGTTTCATAGAAAATAATTATTAACAATGTTCGGTGAACCATTGAAAGTTCTAGTTCTAAACAACACTAAATTTCAGTTGCAATTCATATCAATTTTGAAACAACAACGGCGATCGTCTATCAAATAGTTACAAGGAGTTTAACAGACGTTGCACTAGTTGTCTCTAACAAAACCACGAACAATTTTCTTCGTGCTCGCTCAGAAAATAAATTGTTGCGAGTAGTGAGTGAAATTAATAAGTCTTCTTCTTCATTAGACTGTGCAGCGCACTGTTGCTGGCTTCAACGTTAAATATCAAATAGTTACAAGGAGTTTAACAGACGTTGCACTAGTTGTCTCTAACAAAACCACGAACAATTTTCTTCGTGCTCGCTCAGAAAATAAATTGTTGCGAGTAGTGAGTGAAATTAATAAGTCTTCTTCTTCATTAGACTGTGCAGCGCACTGTTGCTGGCTTCAACGTGCTTCAATATCTAAAGACAAATATGGACTATAATGTTACGAAATTTCGAAACGTTAGAACAGAAGAAGGGTGACATGAGGTTGAACAGAGAGGGATATGTTGCTAAAACGAGAAAGGAGTAACAAGTCTATATATATGTTAGTCATCAGAACAGAATGTTCGAATTTGTGAACGTACATCAAACAGCAAAAGACAACAATCATCATTGAAACAGAGCAGTAAACGTAGTCGTGTTGAGACAAAAAGTATAATATAAATAATAAATAACTCGGATATCGTGATGAAAAGGGAAAATGAACACCGTATGAACCCAGGGGCGATAAATCACACAAAAAACCAATTAAATATTTTAGAACTTGAATTAAAATAATTCTTTATATAGAAATTCATTAAAGAACACATTAAATTTACGAAAAAAATATTGAAACAAAATTGAACGTAATTATAAAAAGACGTTAATACAAATTAATCTCTAATACTAAATAAATCAAAAAGTTGGAAAATGAAAAATAAAAAAAAACGCCATCTGCGCAACAACGAAAACAGCAATTAAACCAGAGAGAATCTGAATAGAACTTAAAGATAATCACAGAAGAATAGCAGGGATATATGCGAAGAAACTCCAATCACATGAGCAAACATCACTGTAGAACTGCACAGGCGACATTCATAAGCTTTGCCATCCTCCAATATTATGTGTCACAACGCAATATGTCAGTTTTGTCATGTACACACACACACACGCACGTACGCACTCACACAAATACACACGTACATATATATATATATATATATATATATATATAACATACTCCTTTCAACTATATTCATCCAAGCAAAAGCTGTCATAAGTAGACGCAAAATAAAGAATACGAAACCTTTAACGGAGAAGAGAATGCTATACTATACAGTCCAGAGTAGTATTAATTACTATGTCATAAGCTACTCTGTTGTTGACAGATGGAAAATTTCAATTCACGGCCAGCTTACCTCATGTGACCGTATTTATTCTTCATTACTTAAAATAATTACTCAAGTATCGCTTCTACAAAATAAAAAATTGCAGTAGAATAGACGAGAAAGCAATTTTTTAAAAGTATTATCACTAAATCATTATTTATAGGCAACAATTTTAAGATGTAAATTAGGATCTAGAAGGTTGGAGCAAGTCAGTTTAGGAAGGAAACACGGATAAGTGCAAGATGAAAAAAGAAGGTGATGGAAAAGTGACAGTTGTAAGCTGTCATCTAATGAGGAATTTTAACAATCAGTGTAAATGTTGTTGACTCACAAACATTAGAAATTAACTGTTGCACCTTCATTATAAATATTGAAATAAAAATTTATGATATTTTCTTATTATACTGAGATCAAGATTAGAAACATTTGGGTTTTTGTGTGACTTATTCAATAAAATTAAGTTAAATTGTAAACTAAGCAATGAACAAAATGAACTTTGTAGAAATTGAAAATTTTAAATATGCTTGAGAAAAGTTAAAGAAATTAGGAAAGTGACATGAAAATGTAACTGTCGTATTGTATCGTGCATGGTAGTGCAACAAAAAAAATGTTTTAGAAAATGACTAAAAATTTTTTCTAGTAATTTTCCAACCATCTTCATCTACAAAACTTCCACATAGATCATCTCCTGCATCATCGAGCAAGCTGCTGGAGCCACAGTCACCAGCATGCATTTGTGACATTCTATCTTTCAGTTTCTTCTTGCCACACTTTATATCATGCTTGCGATGTCTCGTTATTAACTTTTCAAAAACATATACTTGATCATCATTTACTTCATTTTTACTGCGATCCTCAAATTCTTCTAGATAATTTTCCACCATCATGTTTGTGTAAAAAAATAATTTGATGTCAAGTAAACTGGCATCATTGTAGGTTATTAATTTATTCTTAACTCTTCCTTCTTCAATTTCACAGTCACATATAAATTCATAAGTTGTTCCTGTCTGAACTGCCACATCTGTTAACAAATTGGCCTCAACGTAGATGCAATCTGTTTCTGGAAGAATCAAAAGTGGGTCGGATAATTTGATTAGTTGCATTTCAACATCATTTTCCACAACTTTTCCAAACAGTCTCATACGATGGCCAACAAACTGCTCTGAATGTTCCAAGAGTTCAGCAAATGTTGATATTTTCATGACGGCTGGTAAACCTCTTGGTGGTGCCCTATGCCCATCTGCTGTTTTACAAAAATTCAACCCATCTCCACCTTTTCCAGAAGTTTTACTTCCTTCAAGTACCTTAATGATGGGTACATTTAATGAGGCTGCTGTTAGATTATCTGTTTCTTTTTCTGGTACTTCATTCATTTTCAAGTTTGGAATTTCAGTCAAATCTGAATTTTTGGTAGTAACACTAACACTAGTAACGGCAACATTTGTTTCTTTATTTTTATTTGCTACTGATGTTTCACAAATTTCTAAAGAATTCACCACAGTTACTTTTTGAACATCTGTAGTGATGGTAGTCGATGTAGTATGCTGTTGTACACTCGTTAAAAGTGGAGATAAACTACATGGTGTTTCTGTTGCCATTTCTATTCCAAAGTTTTGAATTTTTATTTCCGCCATTTAGATTTATTTAAATTTATTTTAATATTATTATTATTTAATTAATTATTCAGCTAATAATTTTAGTTTATCACACAGTACTTATGAAGCTGATTTAGCGGCAGAAATGCATGATCTGCTGATATTTTTTTTCCAGAACCAAAATTTCAGACATTTATTGTTTGAATTTAATGAGACAATAAAGTTCAATTCTTTTTTAACAAAATTTCAATTTTAACGCCACTTTCCTAATTATTTTAAAAGTGGATTGAGTTATAATATTAGAAATTACTTTATAACAGGAATTAAACTATAGTCATATACCATGGTATAAATGTATAGTATATAGTAATTATTTATACTATAGTATAAAGTATATATATATATATATGTATATATATATTTATATATATATGATAACAATAATAGTATAATAATTTGTACATTCTATATATATATATATATATATATATATATATATATATATATATATATACAAAGTACTAAAATTTCACGATAAAACCATGAAAGAAAGAAAACAATGTACCAAGACAATTTTAACGATGACTATGTAAATCATGAAATAGTAAAATTTTAGCGCTTAGTTATTGTGGTGTTTTGTATATGTTTTAAATCATTAGACTCATAGTTTACATAGTTACTGAAAAACTCTGTAAACAACAAACACACACAAACACACACATACAAAATACATAAACACACTAATGGATATTGAAACATACACCCATAAACACCTAAATGTATGTATTCCACCAACAAATGCATAAATGCAAACTGATTTGTTAGAAAAATTAACGTTTAAATAATTTACCAAGCACCTACGTTTCGAATCGTAAAGACAGTTAAGCGCGGTTTCGTAAAGAGAAAAGATTTCTGTTGTCATTAATCATAAAGGCAAACTAAAAAAATGTTTCGTCTCGAAATAAAAACAAAACGGAACCCAAAATTCGATAAAATTAACTAGCGAAACATCGCGGAATTTATTCAATATTTATTCAAGTTTATCAACATTCATTCGTAGCTTATAAGAAATTAATGTTCAATAAAAGTTAATTAGCTGAAACTTCTTCTTACTTCTTAACTTTGTTTGCTATCCTTAATTTAATTTTGTGTGCTATCCATTATATAAGGCACACGCGCATAAAGTGATTGCCATGCATATTTGAACGCATATGTTTTGGCAGAAGTTTCGTATCGTCATTTTATAAAAATTATATGTTTGGGAATATGCTTATGTAAATGAATTCACAAAGCGACTATTACTTTCAATTTCTTGAAAATTTCGATTATGTTATAATAACATGCATTTACATGTGTGTGTGTGTGTGTGTGTGTGTGTGTGTTGTGTTGTGTGTGTGTATGTGTGTATTGGTGTGTGCGTGTTGTGTGTGTGTGTGTGTGTGTGTGTGTGAAGTTTAACTGTGTGAGCGTAATTTTAAATATTTATCGTCGACCTTTAATATTATGACCATAGAACAATTAAGATTAATGATTCAAAATATAAAATTCAAATTGAGAATTCATTTAAAAATTTCTCAACCGACCGACTGATTGATTGGCTGATTGAAACAAAACGAACAAAAACTAAATAAAACTATCAAACATCAAACAGCCATCAGGAACCGTCTATACATCTCTCCTCTCTTTTTAACGTATACAATACATACATACATTGCTCGTTATGTTCACTTAACACATTGAAATATTTCAGATTTTTGAAAAATGTTTTTCGTGGGTTTTTTGAAAAAAAAAATTCAATAAACATTTGCGCATTTTGAATATTGATAACTTTTTTCAATAGCTTAGTTGTTAAGATTAAATTATAAGTAACTAAAATGAAAAAATGTTTTTACAGAAATTAATTTGGCAAATGCATTGTGCTGGTTATGTGGAAAGAAATTAGTAATAAAAATAAACACAACAATTTTTTAAATTTAAAAATTTGTTTCTGCAATTTATTAAAAAATTTTAAAACTTAAGATGCACATGCGTTTTTATGTACAGTAAAATAAAAATATTAAAATAAATAGTTGGAAGTTTAAAATTAAAACTTTGGTGAATTTACAAATTAATTGCATTTTTTAATAATTTTTATTTCTGCATTCAAATATTTCAGCGTAATTTTTGAAAACACGGGCACATAAAATGACGAAAACTATAATATATGCAACGTAGTACATACAGATACATACAATCCATCATGTTATCTTTTTTTAGTCTTTTTTATTGCAGCTCTGACATATGCAGAACCACTTACAATGTTACAGATATCTTATCTATATATCTTTTATTATGTTTTTCATATCTTCATCCTTTTATTTGTTAGGTTGTTAAATTTGTTGAAAAGATTCAGAGTATATCATCATACACACGTGCGTGCAACCGTTAACCAATGATTCCTACCCAATCAACACTGGTCTGATCTGTGAAAACAACTGACCCGTTACGAAGGTCATTGTTATGTTTAAAGTGTCTAATTAGTGAATTTGTGGACTAATTTATTGATGAATCGGTTAATGATAGAATGTATAGAACAATAGATTGGTAGATGAATCAACGGATGGATGAATAGTTGGATGGAAGGAAGGTTAGGTGAATAGATAAATAAAAAGACGGATGGATGGAGGGATGGGTGGATGGATAGATAGATGGATGGATGGATGGATGGATGGATGGATGGATGGATGGATGGATGGATGGATAGATGGATGGATGGATGGATGGATGGATGGATGGATGGATAGATGGATGGATGGATGGATGGATAGATGGATGGATGGATGGATGGATGGATGGATGGGTGGATGGATGGATAGATGGATGGATGGATGGATGGATGGATGGATGGATGGATGGATGGATAGATAGATGGATGGATAGATAGATAGATGGAGGGATGGATGAATGGATGGAGGGATGGATGGAATGATGGATGGATGGAGGGATACCTATAAATGACTGACTGGATCAAGAGGGAAGAAATCGATAAATAAATTTATTGATTCATTATTGGAGTGTGAATAAATGCATGGATGCATGTATATGTGTGTTGATGTATGCGTAGATATTTGTGTGTGTGTGTATGTATGTGTGTGTGTGTGTGTGTGAATAATGTATGTTTTTATGTGTAGCTGGTTTTATGCATAGATAAATTTACCCATGGATGTAGTACGTTTGAGTATGGTGTGCCTATGCTTATGCTTATGAATACGTAACTATAACTGTATGTTTGTTTGTCTATATGTGTATAAACAGAATCTAACAAGCAGCGATTGAGTTGTAAAAACACAATATAAATGACGGATGTGTTAACACTCGCGATTGTGGCTTATGTATATGAATGTGCTAACTTACTGCACGGTGGTTTGCACAAGTGTACTGTGTTGTTGTTGTAGTTGTTGTTGTAGTTGTTTTTGTTGTAGTTGTCGTTGTTGTTGTAGTTGTAGTTGTTGTAGTTGTCGTTGTTGTAGTTGTCGTTGTTGTTGTTGTAGTTGTTGTTTGTTTGTTTGTTTCTCCAGGTTCATCTGTTTCTTGTCTCTTACGTAAGAAGATCCACATTCATTCTCATTACCTTAATCCGTCTTAACAGATACCTATGTACGAGAGGATGGCCATTACATTTATAATTCTGAAAGTTTTTGGCATCAAACTACGTTTTAAACATTTAAGTAAAAAAAAACAAGTTTGTTAATTCTACGGTTAAAAAAAACGCTTCACAACCATATAATCACACTGTCATCCTTGCCATTATAATCCTTATCGTCGTCGTTATCATCATCATGATCACCGTCGTTGTCCTCACCATCATTACCGTTATTATATAGTTGTCGATATCAAAACTGCAATCATCTTCGCCATCATCTGTCTCGTAAACGTAGTCATCAGCAACGACAAAATCAACATCAGCAACGACAAAATCAACATCAGCAACGACAAAATCAACATCAGCAACAACAAATCAACATCAGCAACAACAAATCAACCTCAGTAACAACAAAATCAACATCAGTAACAACAAAATCAACACCAGCAACATCAAATCAACATCAATATATGCAGCAATCAATTTAAAAATAAAACCAAAATCATAAGCATACAAATAAAAAAGCAAACAAGCAAACAAATGAGTGAACAGATGAACAGATGAAAAATAAATTGACAAACGACAAACCAAAAAGAGAACATGGTATCGTTAAATGACAATTTGTCCGTGCGCCAGTGTTCTCAATTATTAATCTTCTCAGAAAGGCCTGTTACACGTTCGCATTATATTTCAATTTAGTTTCCCCGTCCGCTGCAATCAAGACAAAAACTACAACAACTTTGACGAAACAGACAACATCAACAACAACAACAGCAACAAAAATGAGCAGCATGAAAACATCAATGAACTATTCTAAACCATAGTAAACAAAAACTATTGCAAATAAAAACTACCAAATAGCATATAAGACGAAAACAACAAAAATGTTCAAACGCTGAACAAATTAATTAAGCGGCAAACGTGCGTTAGTATGTTAGCATGCCTTGAAAACGTTGCCTGAACCGCTTGCCTAATAAATCAGAATATTGCCGGTGAGAATAACTTCATCTCAGTAATTGTTTTAAATACATCCTTTCACCAGTCTACCCACCTAGCTGTATAGCTGCATAGCCACCTACCAACCAACCAACCAACCAACCAATCAACCAACCAACCAACCAACCAACCACCAACCAACCAACCAACCAACCAAACAACCAACCAAACAACCAACCAACCAAACAACCAACCAAACAACCAAACAACCAACCAACCAAACAAACCAACCAACCAACCTACCTACCTACCAACCAACCAACCAACCAACCAACCAACCTACCTACGCACCTAAATATTTAGGATACTTATCAAGTGTTTAAATAAATAAATTACTTCTACTCAGTTCATTCGTTTACTTATGCCAGTAAATATTTTTGTATCTGTATTTGTTTGTGAAAATACTTGCTTGCATGGTTTTTGGACAAGTTGTGTGAATGTTTTTAGGAATGAATGGTTACTCAAATATTTTATCAAATTGTGTATTAGTGATGATTGCACGACGATAAGTCTAACTGTGTCAATAAACTGTATATGTTTAAATGGGTGTGTGTCGAAGTCCATATTTAGGTTCATGCACCAACTATAAATCAGTATTTTTTTATAGGATTCCAGTTCAAATTACAAGATCTTAGGAACAAACAGGTTTTATAAACATTGAACAGCTTCATATTTCAATTTCACTGTGTTTCTTTTTTGGTTATGTAAATTGAATTGTTGTAATCTTCTATATACAATTGTATTAGCAACTTTAACAGTGGTCTTACTAAAAATAAGTATATTCTTAAATTTTGTTTTACCTGTTGCAGTGCGATTTAACTTTACCATCAAAGAATAAACATAATTTAACTACGTGGCTTTAAATGCTAATTTGTTGTTATGACTTGTTAATAATTTTATTATTTTCCTTAATTATTATAACCAATGCAAACTAATTTATGTTAATTCATTATTTATATACACAACAAAATCAGACGCATTAATTAACATGATGTTTTATTAAAATAAGATGGCAAACATGTTGAACTAAAGAAGTTACGTAGAATGAGATCAATATATAAACGTGTACACACACACACACACACACACACACACACACACACACACACACACACACACACACACAGTAGATGTCATTGAGCGTTAAAATAGAAACAGTAAAATGAATAAATAAATACGATGCAAAAAGGGATAGATGAGTGCATGATCGAATACAAAAATGCAATGATGCATCATAAGATGGACGTCATCATCACTGTTAAGCCACCATAATCTTCACTATCCCTATCATCGTCGTCGTAGTCATTACACCTTCACTGGATTGGCCCCAATCCCATTCTTCTGGGGACTGACACCACCACTGACGACAGGCACAGCGATAGGAGGCAAGCAAAAGCGCTTAACAGAAACGTGCGTGACATCAGGAGAAGTAGGGATGTTCTGTTTGCTGCCGTGGCTATCCAACATTTCGAGGTAGACGCCATGTTCTGGTCGGTACATTCCCAATTGGAGACGGGCGTCTGGGACTGAAAACCACTGCCTCTTGCGACCAAGACTTTTCTCATCCCACTCATCGCAAAGTTGATCAACAACGAGCAGATACACAGATGTTTTAGTCTTGCTATGAGAATTCTCGAAAACTCCCAGACATCGACTGACCATCCCTTTCACGCCGGCTTCTTCGTAGGCCTCCCTAGCTGCAGCAATAGATGCATCTTCTAGAGGTTCCATGCCCCCACCTGGAACTATCCAACGATCACTGTTCCGCTTGGTCGATATCAACAATATTTCTTGCTCCGTCTCATCCTTCACGCAAATGCATGCCGCTCTCAAACGATAACCATTCTCGTCGTATATTCTAGTCGAATTCAACTTTTCCTTCACCATTTCTGCGATTACGAATTTTAAACTGTTGAAAAATTTTCGTTTTATAACTCAAACTCTTCTACCTTTCGTCAAAAATAAGATTTATTTTAAAATATTTGACTCGGATATTGTCGAGAAGAGAATTCATCTCGCTTATTTATATGATTCAAGATAAAGAGGAGATTGTAAACGGAAGATAATTAAACTTTGTTTTAACTAGCTGGTGATAAACTTTGTTTAATTATTCTTACTTTGTAGATCTATGTGTTAGAATCCAATAGTTGTTGATGTATTCTTTTTTTGCAGTTCTTTGTTTTGGAGTCTTTGAATAAAGAACTTTGAGTTGCAAAGTTAATTTTTACAATTGTCGGTTTCCAAACATTTTCTAACATTTATAATTTTATTGTTGACAGGTACATCTCTTCTTAAAACGAAGCGAATTCTCACACCGCTTTTTGAATCATAACATGCCCTGTTTTTTTGTTACAACAAAATCAAAATTACCAATCGCAAAATAATTCAAAATAATCGAATATTCATAAAAAAACTTTGTATTTGTGTATAGTACAAACTTTTGAAGATGTAGGGGCAAGAAGGTCATTTGGCATGGACTTCCGAATGTGCCTCAAAAAGGAGCTCTTTAAATTAATATTTGTGAAAAGTGACAAAAAATAAGAATATAACCTTCGATTGATGAAAATTTTTAACGTACCTCTAAAGCGCATTTAGCACTGAAATTAATTTAATTAAAAATAAAATTTTATTATTTATCGTTAGAATGACTTTTATTATAATTTAGTGGTCACATTATCTTCTACCAGGGCTTCGAAATAGTTCTTGCAGACTTTGTGTGTTCGTGTATGTATGTGAGCTATTATATGTGTTTACATGGGTATGTATTTGTGTATTTAAGTGTATGTCTATATATTTGTTTATATATGTGTATGTATGTGCGCATATGTGTATGCATGTGTGTATATTTATATGTGTAATTTGTGTATGTGTGTATATTTGTATGTCTGTATGAATAAGTGTGTGTGTGTATTCGTGTGTGTGTGTGTTTGTGCGGGCGCGCGCAAGGGTAGGATAAAACTTATTTAGATTTTGCTGGAATGTTTCCCGAGAGGGACAATATAAACAGGTGAATGCTATATCGTGATGATGAGGATGAGGAGGAGGAGGAGGAGGGGGATGACGATGAAGATGATGACGATAGTGATAATTAATGATGATGAGAAGATGGATTAGGTGGTGGTAGGTGATAGGTAAGGTGATGATACAAACGATGATGATGTGGTGATGAATTATTAACGCTGAAATCCGCCAAAATATTTGCCGCTGTTATGGCTGTCTAAGTAATTGTTGGTGTTATGATAACGGTGATAGTGGTATGAGAACGACTACGGTCAAAAATTTATTGGTCTTTGAATGAGGAAGTTGGGACGATGAGGATGATGATGAAGAAGACGATGAGGATGATGATGACGATGATGATGATGATGATGATGACATTGATGATGATTAAGAAGATAATAATGACGACAATAAGCAAGAAAGTTGATAACAGTTTGCTAGCATTACCATCAAAAACAATAACAACAGCCGGGGCAAAATCGCCAACAATTATAACAAAACTTAAAACAGCCACAGAAATGCAAAACACTGAAATTGCTGCATTGAGATCAGCAACTGAATAGAGATAGGAACGTAGGTAACCTGCTAAAAACTCAATTGCTCTCAGAGAGGTCCAATCAACGAAATAATATTGTTCTAATTCAAATTACATCAATATTATCCTATCCCGCTCGCCCTTCCATTCATGCAAGGCAGCGTGCATGTCCAGGAATAACAAGTCAACAGCACACTGTTCAGAAATATTTGAAAACATTCAACTGGAGAAAACAGTGAACTAACTTTCAAATTTAAAACAAAAATGTTTGAAAGCAATGATGCCATGCATTGTAAAGGAGTTTTAATATTTGTGGGAGTCTGCGGAAATATATTGTAATATCAACACAGGCACCACACATTTTATGTAAACACACACACGCAGCACGCAAACACACACGTACGCACGCACGCACACAACACACGTAAACGCACACTCGAAAGTACACAAACACATATTCGAAAAATCGGCATAAAATTTATTTGATACACATTTATATTTGTGAGAATTGACAAATGATAGAACGCGCGCGAGTGTGTTTATGTCTGTGTATGCGTATGTTTGTTTGTTTGTGCGTTTGTATGTGTATATATATTTTTTTGTGCGTGATTGTTAGTTTGATGAATTGCATTATAATTGAAAATAATTGATATATTGTATGATTGAAAGCTTAATGTGCACTGACGCTGACGAGTTGATCGCTTGTGTGGGGGATGACGAGGTGGTAGCAGCAATTTAATTGGGAACGCATCCACGAGATGAGGGCTTCTTCATTTCCTAATAAATTTTTTGCCTTTTCTCCTTCCGGAATAAGATGGAAGCGTCTGCAACAAGTGGGCGGTCGTGAGCTGGTTCAACTAAAGCCTCGATTGACATTCGTTTGCTTAATTGTTTTGTTGGATTTTATTTTTTAATCGTTTTAGCAAATTGAAAAAGAAAGTTTTCAACACAATTAAGTAATTAGAAAACTCTGATTACATAATTTATAAATTAATTCAATAATCGAACGGTTTGTTTAAACTCATATAAACAAATTTGTTCAACAAATCGTTGAAGTGATATTTGATTATTCTATATTTCATCCAATTATTGTCAACATAAAAACCTGAATCGCAAACATGTGCATATGGGCATAAACACACCACACACACACGCACACATACACACACACACATTAACACATACAAAAAGCACATCACACACGTACACACCCCCAGGCAGAACAAACACACACACACACCATACACACAGCATACCACGCAGACCACTAGCGCGTCCATGCCATCAAATATTTTAACATTTTCAGAACATCAATAAATCAGTACAGCATGTCGGTAGAGATTTCATATAAATCTAAAAATTTAATTCCTTTCTTGCGCATGACGCGTTTCATTTCCGGCGGAAGCATTAACTGGGTCAACAATTAGGTTGGCTGTGACGTCACGTATGACGTCTTACATGATGCCACGTGGTGCTTGGTATAAGCGCTGCTTAATTTTGCGGCGCAGTTGAATTTGTTGCATTTTTCAAAATTTAATTTATGGAAAAATAATTGAACGAAGAATGTATCCACTCTATTTTTATATATTTCTTTATTTATTTATCCATCCATGCATCCATTTAGTCCATTTTTGAAAATAAAAATTTAATTATGAAAAGCCAATAACTTGAAAAGTTTGAGAACGACCATGAAACGGCTGTAATAAGACAATAAATGAAATTGACTGATGGGCTGTTCCATGAAACTTGAAGAGCATCTCTCTATATCTCCGCCATCTCATCATCCACATCATTTCTTCACCCACTCATGTCCGGTTCAACATTTCCATCATTTTATTATTATTATTATTTGGTATCATTATCATCGTTCCAACATTTTTTATTATTTCTTTATTCTCAATTAATATCATAATTTTTTTCATTATTTTATGGTCTATGTCGCTTGGGTCATCTTCTTTCATTGCATTGTTACTACCGATACCACGTTATCAACATCATCATCATCACATCATCAAAATCATCGTCACCATCATCAACAACAACCTCACAACTTCCATCAACATCACCCTTAACTTCACATCATCAGCCAGTCGGACAAATCAGTTCCAGCCAAAAATCCTAACCCTACGCTGAGAACTTTCCACACATCAAACTTCTCCCGGCAATCCATCTACCAATATTTAAAAAAACGTTCGAAGCTGTGATCTCTGAGCCAACAGATCTCGGAAGCCTTCCTCCAATCCCCTCTGACGTAGTGCATAATTCGCTATATAAATAGTCATTATTATTATTTATTATTATTATTATTTATATAGTTATAATTTTAGTATTATTATTTAAGTAATTATCACAGTATCGTGCTTATTAGGTGCGAAATAATTACCCAGACATCGACTATCCAGTGTTTATGCGTCTCAAGAAAGTTTTTTTCAGCTCCCAAAATTAGGGAAGATTTTCAATTTACTTTTTTGAACAAAAAATGCCTTAGTTGTTAATTTTTGCTTAATGAAATGAACTGAAAGCAAAATATTTTAACAAGAACTTTGAGATTTGAAGTTTCCATTGGTCCCAACTCTGTCCTGCTATGACATCATCTTTCACTGACATTTATATTTAGAGATAATAATTATTTTCAAAATTATCGTCGTCTATATCATCTTTATTTTTTTTTCAATTTGTTCTTCTTAACTCTCATTAATTAATTTTAACTTATTCTAGAAGGCCATACAACAAAACACGCTGAAACTCACACAACCATCTGTAATAACAATTTTTAAATTACTAGAAATTTTTACTTATTTGGACATCAATTAATAAACTTGGTTTCACCACGTTCATACGATGGTTTAAACAAAGACTTAAATCACACACATTTATCCATCACATACAGACACACATACAACATTGAATCTTTAAAATACAAGCCGTATGATTTGAACTGTGATTACGAACATAACTCAAGTTTAACTTTGGATTTTTTAATTATTTTACAGTTGAAAGTTTTTAACAGACAAAAAAATTTTAAACCTACTAATCAAAAATTGTGCCACTGGCTTTGAGCATAACTTAAATCCGTAAAAAAATTTCGAAGTGGTCATTATGATTATATAGCGTGATTTCTTTTCAATTTTTTAATTTAATAAATTTAACTTTAATCATTTATTTGTTAAAGTTCATCTATTCATGTGACAGAAGAATGGTTTTAAAAAAAAAGTAAATTCTATGTATATATTTATTTATCTATACATAAATACATACGTAGATTAACATCAATATATATACATATACCTGCATACACACACACACACACACACACACACACACACACACACACAGTAGATGTCATTGAGCG